CCAGCGGAGGCCCACCCCCCCCCCCCAAGGGCTTGCGGCCTCCCTGGGCCAGGCTGCAGCGGATGAGGGGAGCGTGGCGCTGCCGCTCTCCCCCTTCCCCGTGGTGAGTCAGGGTGCGACGGGCACGCAGGGAAGGCCAAACGCCCCCCGGAAGAAGGACCAGCAGCGTCCATGTGTGCCCCCTCCCGTTCGTGACCTAGGGTCGCCCGCCTCCTCCCCTCTCACCAGCATCCAGGCACCACAGCGTCCTGTCCAGTATCCAGCGGCTTCCTGGATACTGAGAGTGAGCGGCTGGCCTGCGGCTGTGTGGGCGGGTGTGAGTCAAGCAAGTTAGCCAGTGGCCCGGGACCCTCTGTGAGTGGCAGGTCAGCCAGCCAACTGATTTTGCCGCGCATGAATCCTGCCACCCCGTAGGCCAGCCAACTGGCTTTTATATATAAGAAGAAGAGATGTGGAGTATTGATTTTCCAACCTTGACTAGTCTTGACATAACTTTATTAAGTTTTGTATGCTGTTAAAGTATTACAGACATGTTTGTGTAAATGCTGTGAATATCATTATAGCGTCACACACAATTGTGTTTCCTTTCTGCTTCCGTACGCCACAGATTCTAGTTGAGATTCCCTCCCTAAATTCTCTCCTCCACAGACACCACCCGCAACTCTCTGGGAATTTCACAGGCTGGACTTGGCAACCCTAGCCAGCGGCCCAGGCCCAGTGACCCCCTGTCTCATTGGGATCTGACAGCAAGCCGAGCCCCTGCGGGCATCATGGGCTTCCTAAATTGGGCTCACTAATCCATGCTGGCAGGATGGACTCCTGGTCGGAAAGCTTCGGCCCATTGAAATGGAGGCTTTTCCCTTCGAGGTGCCCCCATCAGGAATGATTCTGGGAAATACAGTGAGAATTCCGCCCCGCCCCCCATCCACCGCTGGCCACGCCTTCCTGGGGGAAAATCAAGGAATCGAAACCTATTTTACGGCTCTTGATTCGTCCGGGTGGGAGGGCGCTAACCGGTGCCAGCCGGCATCCTCTGCGTCCCATTGGCTGAGGCCGGGCTGTTGCTTACCCCATTCCACCCCTCCCCACCCTCGAGCATGCTCCCCAAGACTTCCCGAGTGCGGCCGCTCCAGAAGCGTCTGCTCGGCGGAAGGTAAGGGGCCTCTGGGAGCTCAGAGACCGGGAGTGGTAATGTAAAGGGGACGAGCTGAGCACTGCAGCCCCTTCTCTGGCCCCCCACCCCCGGGCTGTTGAGCCCCGCGTCTCGCTTTTGAGACCCCTCTACGAGGCTGTGCAGGTGGGGGGGGGGATTCTCTGGTGAAAGTGGCTTGTAAGCTGCGAGTCTCATCTCTTCCTTTTGCTCGTGGGAAGGAAGGGCTGCGGGGAGGCGAAGGGAGGGGAGCGTTCATGGAGTACTGACTAATGATAGGGAAATGGCTGAGAAGCTGAGTGCATTTTTAGCCTCTGCCTTCACTGTGGAAGATGAGAAGTGCTTGCCCACTCCAGAACCCCTGATTTTGGGAGGAGTGTTGAAAGACCTGAGTCAGATTGGGGTGACAAGAGAGGAGGTCCTACGACTGATAGACAGCTTAAAAACTGATAACTCACTAAACCCGGATGGCATATCTCCTGACAAAAATATGTAATCTTTCATTAAACTCTGCTTCCATTCCTGAGGACTGGACCGTAGCTAATGTCACCAGTGTTCCCTCTAAGCTGAGTTAGTGTGAGCTAGCTCACAGTTTTTTAGCCTCCGGCTCACACATTTCCGTCTTAGCTCAGGAAGGATGGCTCCAGAGCAGACTAATTGATGCAGCAGCCAAATCCCTCGCTCACAACTTTAATGCCAGGAGCTCACACAGTAGAATTTTTGCTCACAAGACTCCACAGCTTAGAGGGAACATTGACTGTCACTCCCATCTTTAAAACGGGTTCCAGAGGAGATCCGGGAAATTACAGGCCAGTCAGTCTGAGGATACCAGGTAAATTGGTGGAAACTCTAATTAAGGAAAGAATTAGTAGGCACATAGATGAACAAAAACTATTGAGGCAGACTCAGCATGGGTTCTGTAAGGGAAGATCTTGACTCACTAACCTGTTAGTGTTCTTTGAGGGAGTGAACAAATATGTGGACAAGGGGGACCCAATAGATGTTGTTTACCTTGACTTCCAGAAAGCTTTTGATAAAGTTCCTCATCAAAAGGTCCTAAGTAAGCTCAATAGTCATGGGATAAAAGGACATGTCCTCTTGTGGATCAAAAACTGGCTAATTCATAGGAAACAGAGAGTGAGTATAAATGGGCAATTTTCTCAGTGGAGGGTGGTAAGCAGTGGGGTACCACAGGAATCAGTACTCGGTCCAATGCTTTTTAACTTGTTTATTAATGATTTGGAGTTGGGAGTAAGCAGTTAAGTGGCTACATTTGCAGATGGCACGAAATTGTTAAATAATATAAATGCACATTGATGGGGTCCAAACTGGCAGAGAATCACCAAGAGAGAGATCTTGGAGTCATAGTAGATAACTCAATGAAAATGTCTAGACAGTGTGCGACTGCAATAAGAAAGGCCAACGCTATGCTGGAGATTATTAGGAAGGGAATTGAAAACAAATCAGCCAGTATCATAATGCCCCTGTATAAATCTATGGTGTGACCTTATGTGGAATACTGTGTACAGTTCTGGTTACCACACCTCAAAAAGGAAATTATAGCATTGGGAAAAGTACAGAAAGTGCACTAGAATGATAAAAGGGTTGGAACACTTTCTCTATGAAGAAAGGTTAAAACGCTTGGGGCTCTTTAGCTTGGAGAAATGAGTGGTGAGATGATCGAGGTTTATAAGATTATGCATGGGAATAGAACAGGTTGAGAAAGAGGTACTTTTCTCCCTTTCTCACAATACAAGAACTCGTGGGCATTCAATGAAATTGCTGAACAGTTGGGTTAGAATAGACAAAAGGAAGTACTTATTCACCCAAAGAGTGAGTAACACATGGAATTCACTGCCACAGGAGGTGGCGGCAGCTACAAGCATGGACAGCTTCAAGAGGGAATTAGATAAGCACAAGAGGGGGACCCGCGATACTCGCGGGGGGGGGAGAGAGAAGGGCGTCGTCTCCTCCATCCCCCCCATCTCCCCTAGGCGGCGGCGGCAGCGGCGAGGCCGGTGTTCGCCCCCGCCCCCGTCTCCCCCC